GAGCCGAAACCGAAGCCTTGCCGCCGGCCCGCAGCAGGCCTGTCGGGCAGACGGTGATTCTCTGCCTCCCTGGCGTCTGTCTGGGCGAGGGCCCTTTCCCTAAACCTTTGGGGAAAGAAAGCCCCTTTGCTTTGAACAGTGGCCGTTGTGGAAGAGAGAGCCCTGTTAGCCTGTGCGAGCATTAGCGGTGAAAACAAAATAAATATTTTTTTAAAAAAATCAAAAGAGCACATATAAAAGACAGAAACGTGGTGGCACCTCAAAGACTGCTGTATTTTAATGTGAGCTTTCATGAACCAGTCTACTTCCTCAGGCCCTCAGCCTGGTGCAATAGCGAGCTGGAGTTAAACAAGCGCTCCGGCCACCTCCACGTTTCCTCGGACACAGGCTTCTGCTCCTCGGAGGTGTGTGTGTATGTCTTCTAATGGACAACTCGATTTAGGCGCCTACGTTTATACCCGTGTGATCAACTGTCAAGTCAAGCGTGGAGAAGAGATTTCTAGTTTTCGTTTTGTTTGCAAAAGAAAATCAGGGGTACCTAAGATGGAAATAGACGGTGCTTCTCTATTCTAAAATTTCATTTCCTTGGATGGATGCTTGTTCATTAATGCTAGGACCTGTGCTCTTCGTCATAAAAAAAGAGAAATGTAATGTTTCAAAAGAAAATATGCAGCTATGTTGTGCTTAAATTATTTACTGAATGTCTTTATCACAGAGATTTTCCAAGGCATTGGCTGTAAGGAGAGTGAATATTTATCATTAAATGGGGCAAATGATGGCGATAGCTTTTCGAAATAATTCCGTCCATGGGCTCTCAGAACTACATCTGCCTCAGAAATAAAAACCCTGGGGCACTCCAGTTCTCTGCCATGTCACATCAAGCTCTTCGTGAGTGTCCGTCTTCTTTTCCATATGCTTCCATTCCTGGTCTGTGCTCCTTTATTCATTATTGTGGAATAGCAGCAAATGCTTGAATAAAAAGAAAAAGAAGTGTGGTTGCGATTTTATGCTATTTTTATTTTATTTTCTCCTGCTTACTCATCTCACAACCTGACAGTCTTAAAACTGACTTTTAGAAAACTTCACCTTATGTTGAGCACTGATAATTTACCTCCACGCTCCAAATAGTTTCAATCGGACAGACAACAGACTGGACTGCAGTAAACATGGGTTACAGCATAAGTAATTAATACTTTGTGGGCAGATCTCCAAAAGAATCCATGAGAGTTTGTCATCCCAGTTCAATTATCACAGGCTGGGTTTGTTGTGTTCTGTCTAAAGATGGCCACGAATCAGAAAAACCGGGTGATTTATTTTGATTCATGATTTGTCAATGTCAATAAATCACAAATTATGAATTCATGATTTTTTCTGATGAATCAACAAATCAATTTGTCAATTCATTTTTTACTCTAAAACACTATAAAATGGCCTCTGAACCACTTAGAGACACCAAATTCACAGGGAAGCTTTCCCTGACTCCCCCTTTTTTTAATAGAAGAGAAACTACAAATAACAAAATGTAAACTAAAATACATAGTCAATGGTGACTACGCACAATACACATGCATAAGTAATTAATACTTTGTGGGCAGGTCTCCAAAAAAATCCATGAGAGTTTGTCATCCCAGTTCAATTATCACATGGTGGGTTTGTTGTGTTCTGTCTAGAAATGGCCACGAATCAGAAAAACTGGGTGATTTATTTTGATTCATGATTTGTCAATGTCAATGAATCACAAATTATGAATTTATGATTTTTTTTTCTGATGAATCGACAAATCAATTTATCAATTCATTTTTACTCTAAAACACTATAAAATGGCCTCCGAACCACCTAGAGACACCAAATTCACAGGGAAGCTTTCCCTGACTCCCCCCCCCCTTTAATAGAAGGGAAATTACAAATAACAAAATTTAATCTAAAATACAGAGTCAGTGGTGACTACGCACAATACACATAGAATATTTCCCACCCGTGCCTCCTTCACCCTTGGGACTAGGTGACCAATAATACCAGTCTGTATCCCTTTTCACCCCATTCATCTCCAAAAATACATTGATTCTTCTGCTGGCATATAGCCTTTCCCCTTCAAAAGGACATATTCCAAATATAAATTCCATACCATTCTCCGTGTTTTCATTCCACATGTTAACTTATCATTAATTGATAAGCTCCACATTTCTTTATACGTCTTCAAGATTGATTTGTTTATCGCTTTTCCAGTTCTTTGCAAATATTAATCTTGCTGTCGTAACCGTTATAACAAGTAACTCTTTCTGATCTTTTTTCAAATGGTCATTCTTAGTTATGTTCAGGAGGGCAGTAATTGGAGATATCTAAATATCCTATCCAATAATTTTTCTAATTTCTTTAAAAACCAGTGCCCATTCTTTATTTCACATGTCCACCACATATGCATATACAGTACAGTAGATCCCTTTCTCCTTTTTGCATCTCCAGCATGTTCATTCTTACTGGAGTTAAATACCATCTCCACATTAACTTATAACAATTTTCTTTTACCCTTATAGACATATCCTTCATTATTCTTTGTAACCATATCTTGTTCCAGTCCTCTCCTTTACTCTCTTCCTCAAAGTCTTCCTGCCACTGGTTTTTCCTCCTTGCTTGTTCAAATCCTGAATGTAGTAAAATGCTATAATTACACTAACAAGCCCTCCATTCTGTCGGAGTGTTCTGTCATTTCCAGTTCCCTCCATATTAGGTTTCTATTGTGTACTATAATATCTGGTATATGCCTAAATTAACTTGCAATGTAATACAATTTAATATTAGGAAATCCAAGCCCTCTTTTTTGTGGAATATACCATAACCTCTTATTGATCCTTGTTCGCTTGTTTCCATTGTAATAATTATTTATTAACTTTTGCCAGTCTTTCAGATATGTTTCTCCAATCTTTATTGGGAACATCCAAAATACAAAGTTGATTTTAGGGATAATCTTCATTTTCCATAATGCTGTTCTACCAAACCAAGACAATTCAAATTTTTGATACCAGTTTATCTGTTCATTAATTTCTTTCTTCAATTTGTCCATATTTAATTTAATTATATCTTGTAAATTCCATGTAATATAAATGCTTAAATATTTAATTACATTCTCTATTCTTCCTTTAATTTTTTTTAGGTTCCCTCTTGTCTACTGAATGATTTAATAACATACATTTGGATTTCTCCCAATTCTCTTTCAAACCAGTTGTTTCTTCAAATAGATTTAAATGTATTCTGTTTTTGTGCAATGTTTCTTTTGGATTTTTAATTATTAATAATGTATCATCTGCAAACAAGTTTCTTTTATCCTCCTCTCTTGTATCTATGCCTTTAATTAAATGATAATCTCTAATTATTTGTGCCAGCACGTCTATTACCAATGTGAATAAAATTGGAGATAGTTTGGGTTTCGGACATCTGAGTTAGAAAGCCACCAGGAGCCCCCCCCCAAGAAAGTCCCCCTCCCCAACACCCAGAGACACCAAAATCACAGAGAGGCTTCTACTGACTCTCCTCTGCAGTCTCACCAAGTTTGGTGAAGATTGAGTTTTTTAGCAGCTGGCTTGGGAAACCCCATCTTCACCAAACTTGGAGGGATTGCAGAGGAGAGCCAGAGGAAGCTTCCCGACAATTTTGGTGTCAGTAGGTGCCTGTGGGGGCATTTTATAGCCAAAAACAAATTGACAAATCAAAAACTGCTAAACATTTGTTGATTCGTATTCATTGGGGGCATTGATATGTACGGATATGAAACAACAGATTAGCAATTTTTGAACAAATTTGGTGATTCATTTTTTAAATTCATGCCCATTTGTAATTCTGTGCTGTAACATGGAATGGGAGGAATTTTCATGTGTCACTACTTCCTGAAAAACCATAATAATGGGCCAAAGATTTTTTTAACATGGCCTTCCCTGCCACACCTGTAGATATGGGAAGAAGATACTATGTGTAATTCACAGTATTGTGTTAATTGTTGCAGTTTTTATTTAAATGAAAACTTATGTCTGTATTTCTAGGTAGACATTCTGGCACCTGATGTTGTACAGTATTTGGAATTTTGATTATCATGGTTTTCTAATTTTTTAAAAAGTACTCATATTTCTCTCATGTTTTGGGCCCTCCTAGTGCAATATAATAGATGAGATAAAACCTTAAAGTATGGGCTTGTCTATATACCTGTTCTGGAATGCGCTGAAGCAGGCTAAATAGGATTGCTAGGATGTCCAGAATGCCATCTGGTGCAGTCTTTCCACCCAAATGGCATACCAGCCCCACGTGATCCTTTTTGTCCCACTGCCAGTGAGGAAGATTTGTTTGTATGCTTTTCTTAATTGGTTCTTGACCAATCAACAAATGTGTCTGATGGTTGACTATGTGTCCAAATGTATAAATATTGTGGAAATGTTGCTAACCTGTGACCCAGTCCTCTGGAACCACCCAAGACTGGGCAAAGCTTTTTGCATTTTCAGCTATGTTTCCATTGGGCATCTTGTATTCCTGTTCATACTCAGCATCATATCTTCCACAAATTCCACAATTTTTCCCACTCATCCAGAAAGGTACTTGAATCTGCATGAGAACACAATAAAAGTCTGAGCAGGGCTGACCATATATACTTTAAAAGCGATCCAAAGCATTAGGAACAGGGCATAACAAAAAAAGAACAATGGGCAGGGGAGAGGAAGTATACCTTTAAATTGTTTCCATCATAAAAAAGCTTTTCAATGCCGTTTTCTGGGGCTTTTAGTAAGAAACCATTCTTATCGCAGTTGATGAAGATATATCCACCTGTATCCAGAAAGCAAAGTTATTTAGTATCTCAAAGATGGTTGTAATCATAACTCATATAATTATTCCAGTACAGTAAACTGAGGTATCTGCAGGGGATTGGTTTCAAGCCCCCTACTGTAGATACTGAAAAGGTGCCTAATAGCAAATGCTATACATACCGTATTTTTCTGTGTATAAGACACTGCTTTTCCCTAAAATCATTACATTGAAATTTGAGGGGCATCTTGTACATGGAAATAAGCTGAGGAGAGAACAAAATGGGCCCGTACCTTGCCTCTGCAAACAGGCTTCCTTCAATCATGAGGCTTAGCTTCCTACAGTCAGGAGACTTAGCTTTCTCACGAGCCTTATGGAGCTGATGTCAGCTGATGCTGAACAAACCAATTGGAACATACTTCATTGGAGGTGGAGCTGTAGGCAGTGCTCAGATACAACAGGGACTCGTAATGTCCAAGCGTTCTAAGCCCAGATGCTGAATACTCAAAGCTAGGTTTTCTTAATTTGGGGGTTAGAAAAGGGGGGGGCATCTTATAAACGAAAAGATACGGTAATGTGTTCTCTTTATCTAGTGACCAATTCTGGTAAATACACCTTGGAAATACATATAATGTATTTCTGAGTTTTTTATTCACTATTTCAGGCAGTGTATAAGTGAATATAAGATTCCATGGACGGGGTGTGTGTCCTACTATAATTATGAAAGCCAGCCATTTGCAGCTGAAATGCTGTGGCTATTCATGTGACAGTTGCACAAGCTGGGATTCTCTCCACATGGTATTATGAGTATAAAATGTTGGCTGAAATCCTGTTGTGCAGCTCCTCATGCACAATGGGAATGATGTTTTTGGCAGTGGCAGTTTGCTGCTGATTAAAGTCTTCCTTTTGTGATTTCAGGGTGCACATGGCTCATGCATGATGCAGTGAAGTCATAAATTGAGGTATTTAATGAGTGGTAATATGCTAATGTTGATGATGTCATACCTGTTGTGCAGGCATACCCTACCCAATAGGATTTTGGCCATTAATTGAATAAATATAATATTGGGTTTAGGATTCAAAAATCAACTAGTTAGCCAAATACCTTTTTATTCAAGTAGTCTTTTGGCAACTGGTTGCTAAGGGAGGGGCTTTTTACTAATTGGCATTAGACATTTTGCTTTAATATCTGACCATATTGTGTGTTTTGCTTGTAATATTTCTCCCATCTCTGAGCACCCATGCCATAGATAGGTCAAGTGGATTACAGTTTTCTGAGAAAGACAGAAAGGACGTGGAGTTACATACCTGACGTGGAAACGTAAGGGAGATTCTCTTCCGGAATTTCAGTCCCATTAATCCGCATTTGAACGTGACCATTTGAAGAAAGCACGTCAACATCACTTCAAACAGAACAATCTGGTTTAATTAATGCGATAACACATGCACATCCTGCATTTCAGAAAAGCATGTACTGTACACCCAAAATGGGTCCCTGCTGTATAAAGGTACTGTACTTGCATTGATTGCTATCCAGCTGTGTCCCTGGGCCAACCCACAGCTTTGTGGAGAGTTCCATAAAGAGAAGACACGGACAATGTTTTTAAAAGACAATTAAAAACTTGGATATTTAGGCAGGCTTTCCCTCCAGTCAGCTAAGTCTTTTTCTTTCTTCTTTCCTTATCCTACCCCA